GGAGTTTGTAAGCCGCTCTGAGACTGCTTCGGGTAGTGAAGGGCGGGGTATAAATCCAGTCTCTTCTTCTTCTTCAATGTGCACTGCAATCGTGAGGACAGCTGTATCGGGCTCAGTTCATGCATGACTCCTGTCCAACGCTGCAGCTTTGTCTCCTGGCTTTTTTGTCTATGTGAGCTCACTGAACCATAGCATAGTCTTGGGAGGGGGGATATATGATAGAGTTCCATCTGGGGCACCTCAACTCCCACTGGAAACGAAGGCGTCTCCACCTTGTAGAAAGGGCTGGAGGGAGAGCAGCGGACGAGCAGTGGACGGATTGGGACCAGTCACAGTGGACGGATTGGTTGAGATAACACCATCTCTTCCTTTCAAACAGTTCCAGGTTTAATTGCTGTTAAGAAATGGCTGATTGGCTTCGCTGTTCTGTAATGTGCCTGTCGGTGTTTTGTTCTCAAATTGCCCAGGTGTTTATACTCCTGAAAGAGCCACAGCTCATGAGATGATGAAGATCTTTGCGTTTGCCAATTCGTTGGTGGAGCTCCTTGCGGTGGGGCTGGAGACGTTTAACCGGGCGCGCTACCGGCAGTTCGTGAAACGCATTGGCCGCCTCATCAGGTGAGGCGGGGGGGCCTGAATTGTGTCATGCGCGGGAGGGAGTTCGATACGCTTTTCCCACTTAATTTGCGATGTCTGTTCAATGGTTAGGAGTAGCCTTCTGGCCAATAGGTCAAGATGGGTAGCTGTATCAGTCTGTCTGTAGCTGTAGAAAAGAGCAAGAGTCCAGGAGCACCTTAAAGGTAAAGGTTCCCGTGCTCGAAAGCCAGTCCAATCCGACTCTAGGGTTGCTGTGCTCATCTCCGTTTCAAAGCCGAAGAGCCAGCGCTGTCCAAAGACATTTCCGTGGTCATGTGGCCGGCATGACTAAACACCAAGGCGCACGGAACGCTGTTACCTTCCCACCGAAGTGGTACCTATTTATCTACTTGCAATGTCTTGCGTTCGAACTGCTAGGTTGGCAGGAGCTGGAACCAGAGACGGGAACTCACTCCGTCATGCGGCACACTCGAGAGCAGTTTCTGTCAGAGCTCTCTCAGCCTGACCCACCTCACAGGGTGTCTGTTGTGGGGAGGGGAAGGAGTTTGTAAGCCGCTCTGAGACTCCAAGTGAAGGGCGGGGTATAAATCCAATTTCTTCTTCTTCTTGGTCTCTATTGTGCTGCTGGATTCGAATCCAGCCAAAATCAATGACAAAGCCTAGATGTAAGAAAAGAAGTCATTTCTGCAGATCATTTTGGGGGGGGGATATTGAACGAGGAAGGGATGAAAGTGAAGGGGTGTCCCGGCACTGGCTCCCCCAAAATCTAGATGGCTTTTTAATTTCTGGCAATTCTTGGGGGTATGTGCCAAGGCTCAGTCATAGAGCATCTGCTTGGAATGCAGAAGGTCCCAGGTTCAGTCCCCAGCATCTCCTCCCCAGCATCTCCGCTTAAAAAAAGGAACAGGTAGTAGGTGATGGGAAAGCCCTCGGCCTGAGATGCTGGAGAGCTGCCGCCGGTCTGAGTAGACGATACTGATTCTGATGGTCTGATTCAGTTTCAGGCAGCTTCATGATAGTTTGGATGTGTCTGTGTAGAGTGGAAGAAGCAGGGACAAAGGGACAGGACAGGTGTATCTCTATGAAGAATTTTCAGAGATGAGCACACTTCTGGTAACATGGGGGTGCGGCCTAATATGCTAATGAGCTGTGCTGTCAGGGGTGTGGCCCAATATGATAATATTTTCCTACTGTTGGGTGTGGCCTATTATGCTAATGAGTTCCTGCTGGGCTTTTTCTACAAAAAGAGCCCTGGCTCTGATTCAGTTTAAGGCAGTTTCATGATAGTTTGGATGTGTCTGCGTAGAGTGGAAGAAGCAGGGACAAAGGGACAGGACAGGTGTATCTCTATGAAGAATTTGCAGCCGTTCATGGCTTCCTTTCCGCCCTCTTCCATGTCTCCTCCCCGATCCTGCAGGATGACACTTTGCTACGTGAGCGATCACTGGGCCCAGTACGTCAGCCGCGCGAAGAACGCTGGCTCTGCCTCACCCCCTTTCTCTCTCGAGAAGCTGCAGGTGGAATTTGACGAACTCTTCCTGAGGGCTGTCCTTCATGTGCTGAAGGCAAAAAGGTAGGAAATGATGTGCGTGTGTGTTAATATTGATGATGGAAATCCTGAGTCTTCCCCTGATGTACCTCTTCACCCAAAGAGTAATTAACCCATGGAATTCACTGCTGAAGTGGTGGCAGCTACAAGGATAGACAGCGTCAAGTGGGGATTGGAGGAACCTATGGAGCAGAGGTCCATCATTGGCTATTAGCCACAAGGTATAGAGGGAAAACTCTGTCTGGGGCAAGTGATGCTGTGTATTCTTGGTGCCTGGGGGGCACAGTGGGAGGCCATCTGGAGTACTGGGCTGGCTGGTGGAGCTCCTGATGGCACCTGGGGTTTGGCCACTGTGTGACACAGAGTGTTGGATTAGATGGGCCATTGGCCTGATCCAACATGGCTTCTCTTATGTTCTTATGTGTGGGGCAGTGATGCTGTTTATTCTTGGTGCCTGGGGGGCAACAGTGGGAGGCCATCTGGAGTACTGGGCTGGCTGGTGGAGCTCCTGATGGCACCTGGTATTTCTGGCCACTGTGTGACACAGAGTGTTGGATTAGATGGGCCACTAGCCTGATCCAAGATGGCTTATCTTACGTTCTTCTATTCTTATGATGTTGCTTCCTGGCACTGGGATTCAGAGGCTGACCATCTCCAAATGTGGAGGTTCCCTTTGTACACATACATTGTATAAATAAAGTTTTGTCACAGTGTTCATTTGTTACTTGTCATGGGGGTGGTTAAGGGATTTGATAACGGTGTCGGATGCTTGGTTGGCTGTAATGAGTTAAAGATTAAGAACCGTGGCGATAGACTGACCGTCTCATCCAAACACTTAAGAATGCCTGTATGGGTTGGTTGCGCGTCTTCTTTCTTTGTTCCGGGCCAAGGCAGGTCTGAAGAGAGCCAGTTTAGTGTAGTGGTTACGTGTGTGGACTGTAATCCGGGAGAACCAGGTTTGGTTCCCCACGCCTCCACTTGCAGCTGCTGGATGACCTTGGGCAAGCCATAGTTCTGTCAGAGCTGTTTTTGAAAAAGAGACGTTTCTTTCAGAGTTCCCTCAGCCCCACCTACCTCACAGGGTGTCTGTTGTGGGGAGGGGAAGGGAAAGGAGTTTGTAAGCCGCTCTGAGACTCCTTTGGGTAGTGAAGGGTGGAGTATAAATCCAATCTCCTCCTCTTTCTTTGGTGTAGTGGTTAAGTGCGCGGACTCAAATCTGGGAGAACCGGGTTTGATTCCCTACTCCTCCACTTGCAGCTGCTGGATGACCTTGGGCAAGCCATAGTTCTGATAAGAGCTGTTCCTGAAAAAGAGCAGTTTCTGTCAGAGCTCTCTCAGCCCCACCTACCTCACAGGGTGTCTGTTGTGGGGAGGGGAAGGGAAAGGAGTTTGTAAGCCACTCTGAGACTCCTTTGGGTAGTGAAGGGCAAGGGGTAGAAATCCAATCTCTTCTCCTCCTTTTAATAACTGTCCTCCATTTCTCACTGGTTTTCCAATCCTCCAGGCTGGGGGTGTGGCTCTTCATGTCAGAGATGCCCTACGGAACCCTGTCCAGCAGTATGCTCTGGAAGCTCTTCTCCATCATGCACTGTCCGGAAAGCGAGAACCCAGAGAAGTCCCGTGCCACCATGCGCCTTGCCGACTGCAAACGTGAACTCAAAGGTAGTGCCCGCCTTGCGGGGAGGGAATTTCAGCCCCTGTTTGTATTTAAATGTCCGTGCGGTCTCTGGTCCCGTGAAAGCATCACACCTGGAGGAGGGTGGGTGGTATAAGAACAGCTCAGTCTGTACCCGAGCGGCAGGTTACTCAAACCGAGGCGCTGGTCTGAACCCTGTAGCAGCTATCTATACAGGGCCTGCTGGGATCCTATTGGCCGCTTTGCATCACCTGATCCCTGCTGAGTTGGTGGCTGCAATGCCTCTTCCTGGCCATCTGTAGTGGTGGCGCCAGAGCACAGAACAAGACACCCAGCTCCCTCCTCTGGCCACGGAGATGGAATCTTGCTCCAGTTTGGTGTGGTGGTTAGGAGCGCAGACGCTAATCGGGGAGAACCGGGTTTCAGGGCTTTTTTTGTAGAAAAAGGCCAGCGGGAACTCATTAGCATAATAGGCCACACCTAATAGCTGAAACTCATTAGCATATTAGGCCACCCCACCAACAGTGCAGTCTATTAGCATATTAGGCCACACCCCAATGCCTTCCCTTGGCTTGCCGCGGTGCCCCACAGCTGCGGGGAGCCCAGGCACGGAGAGGCATTTAAATGCCTCCCCGATCCTTCCAGGGGGCTCCCGGTCCACCCGCCTCGGAGTTTCTGGGGGGGGGTTTGCTCTCCAGGCCTTCCCTCTGTAGCCACGCACACAGAGGTTTTGGCTGTAGTGGGCGTGGCCAACTCTGAAGCCAGCCGGAACTCCGTTCCTGTGCATTCCCACCCCAAAATAGCCTTGCCGGGTTTGATTCCCCCACTCCTCCACATGCAGCTGATGGTGTGACCTCGGGTCAGTCACAAGTTCTCTCAGAGCTGTTCTCTCAAGAGCAGTCCTCGGGAGAGCTCTCTCAGCCCCACCTACCTCACAGGGTGTCTGTGATGGGGAGGGGAAGAGAAAGGAGATTGTAAGCTGCTCCGAGACTCCTTCAGGTAGTGCAGATAAATCCAATCTCTTCTTCTTCTCTAAATGACACGTGCAGCCTGCTGGTGTGACCTTGGGTCAGTCACAAGATCTCTCAGAGCTGTTCTCTCAGGGGCAGTCCTCAAAAGAGCTCTCTCAGCCCCACCTGCCTCACAGGGTGTCTGTTGTGGGGAGGGGAAGGAGAAGGAGATTGTAAGCCGCTCTGAGACACCTTTGGGTAGTGCAGGGCAGGGTATAAATCCAATCTCTTCTCTCTTCTTCTGTTAGAAATGTTCTGTGGGTTCTCAGGGAGCCCTGACTTATCTTGGACCAAAGCCTTATCCTGTTTTGGCCTCGAAGTCACGTGTCGTTTTGGTCGCTGGAATGGCCGTAGGGTGGGAGCTTTATGCGCCCGGGACTTTCTCCAAGCCAAGCAGATGAGCCACAGTCCCAACCACACCTGCCAGCAGTGGGGGGGAGGGGGGGAGTCACGCAGGGTGGGATTTGGAATTCCACATTTCCAGTGAGCAGTGACTCAGGAAAGCTCCTCCCCTGCCACAATTTTTGTCAGTCTTTAAGGTGCTCCTGGACTCTCTTGCTCTTTTCTACTTGAGGAGTGAGCAGTGACTCACGAAAGCGCCTCCCCTGCTGCAAATTTTGTTGGTCTTTAAGGTGCTCCTGGACTCTTTCTCTTTTCTCCTGGTACAGACAGAATAACACGGCTACCCATCTTGATACATTTCCATTCTGTCTATCGTAATACAGAGGTTTTTTAAAAAACGCATGTTCAGAGCAGATATTTGGTGTTTGGGTCTACATAATAGAACCTGTCTCTTCCAGTTTGGTGTAGTGGTTAAGTGCGCTGACTCTAATCTGGGAGAACCAGGTTTGATTCCCCACTCCTCCACTTGCACCTGGCTGGATTACCTTGGGCAAGCCATAACTCTCTGGCACAGCTGTTCTTGAAAAAGAGCAGTTTCTGTCAAGAGTTCTCTCAGCCCCACCTACCTCACAGGGTGTCTGTTGTGGGGAGGAAGAAGGGAAAGGAGTTTGTAAGCCGCTCTGAGACACCTTTGGGTAGTGAAGGGCGGGGCATAAATCCAATCTCTTCCTCTTCTTCTTTTACCTCACAGGGTGTCTGTTGTGGGGAGGGGAAGGGAAAGGGGTTTGTAAACCGCTCTGAGACACCTTTGGGTAGTGAAGGGCGGGGTATAAATCCAATCTCTTCTTCATCTTCTTTTACCTCACAGGGTGTCTGTTGTGGGGAGGGG